GCTGAAGTCAGACGCTTAACCGACTGCGCCACGCAGGCGCCCCTCATGTGATCTTTTAGAGAGCAAAAATTTCTATTTTGATGAGGCACATTATATCAATTTTTCATTTTGTGGTTCCAGCTTTTGGTGTCAAGTCTAAGAACGTCTTTGCCTAGCCCTATATACTGAAGAATTTCTCCTTTTTAAAAAGTTTTGTAGCTTTAAATATAAGTTCATTATCCATTTTGAGTTCATTTTTATAGTGTGTAAGTTTAGGTTGAGTTGTTTTTTTTTTTTTAATTTTTGGTCTATGAGTAAAGTAGCATTTGTTGAAAACATTGTCCTTCCTCCACTAAACTTCTTTTGAATCTTTTTCAAAAATTACTTGGGCATATTTATGTAGGTCTATTTCTGGTTTCTCTATTCTGTTTCATTGATATAATATGCCTTTTCTTCTGCCAATACCACACTGTCTTGGTTATTGTAGCTATATAATTAGTGTTAAAATCAGGATAGACTGATTAAATTTACTTTTCTTTTTCAAGATTATTTTAGTTATTTTAGGATATTCATTTGATTTTGAGCTGGTCCTACAGCCTCGGAGATGGAGCTATGCTAATGGCCCTAGGGAGTTCTATGATGACAGACTGAAATAGGTTGATAGACTGAGAATTAGTATTCAAATTCCAAGAAGTTATGTATCAATTCTTAAAACCAAGACGATATATAAAAGTAAAAAAAGGCTTTCCTTGGAGCTAGGCTCTGTCCTCTTTGCTTATCTTACAGCCAGGCTTCCCCCACTACAGAGCAGTAGACTGAGTTGATAAGGTCCCATGGAATTATAGGTGGGGGTGGAAAGGGACACTAGAATAATTACCTTATTCAATATATCTGCATTAGAGAATTATTAATAACAGTGTTCCCATCACTTCCAGGAAAGGGTCATTGGAAGGGTTAAAGAAACTGGCTTTTATGGGTATCTTAAAGAATTCCCTTCTTACTCTTATCATGTACATAATATAACTATTAAATTCCTAAGTTTGACAATTGCTTCCACATATGAAGTTCCCTCGAGTCTCAAAATATATCGATCATCACAGTCCTGGACTAGGAGAGTCTTGAAAACTAGAAATAGAAATAATGGAGATTCGTAGGAATTCTGGAAAGTTTGAAACTAAATGAGTTTCTTTGAAAACTAGAATTGCTGAATCAGTGTTTAGATATTGGGGAATAAGAGAGAACCTGAAAGGAATAGCCTTGTGACTAGATAGGGTGGAAAAGGGACCTGACACCAAGACTTGGTATGAGTGAGCAGGACTGTTTTCTGGCTTTTTGCTTTATGGGAGCTCCTTTACTTTAAGAGTTCGTAGTGAAAAGAGCAGCCAGTATTCGATAGACTTGAGGGAACCTGCCCTGAGGTAAAGGGGTATTATCCCATCATGAAGGTCAGTGTGGAGAACAGTGGAGGGAATCATACTGAGAAAATCTCAGGGGTTAAGAGCCTCCAGGAAACAGGCAGGACACAAAGTAGTTTCTTTGTAGCCTGAGGACTCCCCAACTGGCTGGGGTTCTTTTATGCTTATATCTCTAAGGAAGGGGTACATTCTCTCACAATGTTTCCCTACTCATACAGATCATATCTATACTGACCTAACTTCAGATAGCTTTCTAACACTTTCATGTTTTTACTCCCAAGTGGTTAAGAGTGATTGCCTTTAATTTCCTACCTAAAGATAATCATATTTCCATGATGAGGGAAGAAGCCAGTGAGTGCCTCCCAAGGGCAAGAAACAATAAGCAGTTAAAAGGAAGTCATGTCTAGTCACAGGGGCCCCAACTAGGTGCACTGTTTAATTGGAAATCAGATATTCATAGGCACTCAACCTCCTCAGTGAAAAGGAGCTTCATTTGGGAATAATTAAGGAAGCTCTACTTGGTTGCTGGAATTTCAGGCAACTTGAATCTAGTAATTTTGTAGGGTGATTCATTCTAAACCAAAGAGTCTACTGAGAAAGCAGAAGGGCCTGGGGAAAGTGAGGTCTCATTAAGATCACCTACCCCTGGGGAAAATGACAGTGGCTGTCAGTAATAGAAGCAGCTGTCAGTAATTGAGCTGAGACAAAATGTGAGCTGTTCTTTCCCAGCATAGAGAATCAGCAGACCCCCAAGATGGAGAGGGAAGAACAGTGGACTTGGAATCAAGATGAGTTAAGTTCACAATCCCTTTATCCCAAAGATCTTGTTTCCTAATCTGGAAAATGAGGCTAATAATGCCTACCTTTTCAGAAGTACCATAAAGATGAAATTAAAGAACTTGTATAAAATAACTGGTAATGAATAGGGTCATGAATAAAATAAAGGATAGTTACTTCCTTTTGTTCAACTAAGCATTTTAATTTTGTCTAGTTCATGAAAAGGAGAAAGCTTTATTCCATATTCAAATTGATTCTCAAGGTATTTTCCTTTTTTAAGTACTTTATGGTTCAGAGAAAGAAAACTAGTATCTGAATCTTCTGTGTTGGTCCAGTTTGAAGTTCTCCATTCTGATTTAAGACTCCTGATTTAGCAAATGCCCCCAAACAAATTAAGGAAAATTGTGTATATATTCCAAATATATTTGTACTTATTAATAAAATTTACACAGTTACTATTGTTCATCAGTCTCTAATTTGTGAGTGAAGTTTAGTTTCTTTCTTTTACTTACATAAAAATAAAAGGAAACAAATTTTATTTTTTCCTGTACCCAATGAACTATCTTTGGACATAACTACCTTACACTATTTATTCCTAAGCCTTATGCCTTTAAGACCATTTGCTACAATATCAGGAACACCTGGAAACCCAGACACTCCCCCACCATCCCAAATTAGCTTTCACATGGAAACAAGCCTGGGGATTTGCAATCACATAGTTTATGGCTTCACACTCTCACAAAGAAAGTAGAGCTGGTGGGGTAAAAGCAGCTTTACCTTTTTGTTTAGGGACTTTTCTCACAGTCATTGCAGCTTGCCTCTTCTGGTTTTCAGAAATTTCAAAGCCTATAATATAAAAATACATGACTTTGTTACAAGAAACACAGACCTTTTTCAAATGTATAAAATAGTACAACTTTTCTGAAATAGTAATTTTGGCAAGATATATCAAAAGTCTTGATAAATAAATGGTGAGAAGCTTGAACAAATATTCAGCTACAAAAATGTTTTTGACAGTATAGAGAGGCAAAAGAAATGTGAGAATATGAGTTAAGATGATGGTAAATGAAGAAGGGGTGAATAAACTATGGCATAAAGTAGAAAAATATTTCACAACCAAAAGCAAAAACAAAGACAAGGAAATAATGAGTCAAAATATAAAATATTAAAACCGAAAATTTGTGTAAAGTTTCAAATGGAAGAAAAAAATCAAATGGCAAAAAGTAATGAAATAATAGAAATGTCTATTCAAGTCCTTTATCCATTTAAAAAATTTTTAATGTTTATTTATTTTTGGGAGACAGAGAGACAGAGTGCAAGGAGGGGAGGGGCAGAGAGAGAGGGAGACACAGAATCCAAAGCAGGCTCCAGGCTCTGAACTGTCAGCACAGAGCCTGACGCAGGGCTCGAATTCACAAACTGTGAGATTATGATCTAAGCAGAAGTTATATGCTTAACCGACTGCGCCACCCAGGCACTCCTTCTTTGCCTATTTTTAAAATTAAGTTATTTGAGGGAGCGCCTGGGTGGCGCAGTCGGTTAAGCGTCCGACT